AAACGGCGCGGGCCGCGCTGCTTGTCCCGCGGGCCGCCCGAAGACCTGGCGGCGCGCCTGCGGGCGTTCAGCTTCCGCATTGCAGGGCGCAGGTAGAACGCGGAGAACTTGGCGGGCGAGGTCGGCTGCGCTTTCTTCCAGCACGAGCGGTGAACAGATGGTTCTCTGGAGCGCGAGAGCGAAACGGCGCGGGCCGCACTGCTTGTCCAGCGTGCCACTGGGAAATGGTCGCCACCTTCCTTCCTCGTTATGCCTCTTTCGTTGTCGTCCTCTTCCTCCCTCGGCCGGTTCACTGGCTGATGTCGCGTTAACTGATCGGCCCCCCTTCCGTCCTCTTTCTGCTCCCCTCTCCCACCCCCATTTCCCGTTCGAGCCTGGGGTCTCACCCTTTGTTCTTGTGTGGCTGTCCTATGATTCGTACAACGCGAAAGATTCCCAGACAGCCTGCACAATCAATGGCAGATCCTGCGTTCGCATGAGCCGTAGTACTATGGACCGGCTCTTTCTGGCACTTGGTGCAGATGGGTTGGGTACATCGCAGAGTATTTGCACAACGAAGGTGCGTGGAGGTATCGCCGCTACTCTTGTTGCTCTCCTGGCCTCTCTTAGGCTGCATTACGACAAGAGCCCCGAGGATAGTTCATCCAGTGGACGTTGCGTCCTCATTGCGGAATGGACATTTTGCTGGTGGAGTCAGCACGACGTGATTTCAGTTGAGCGGAAGATCGGGACAAATCGGAACCAGAGATTTTGGGAGAGTTCCAAAGAAAAATAGAACGCCGAATTGTGGAGCGCAGCGCGCGCATTCGCAGAAGTTCCCCAAGGACTTTTCGAGGGCTTGAGGAGCCCAAGTAACGCGTGGGCGCTCAATTAAACTGTTGAGGGCGGGCAGAAAAGCTGGTGTGCACGAGCATTGGGAGCGGGTGCGCGGCTTGCACGGGGGGCGCAGAAGGTTTGCGTTTCAGGGGCTTGGGCGCTGGCCGATGCGTTGCTGGGGGGCCCGGGAGTGCGTCACACATATTACGCCTGTGGCGCCATGGAGGCCGCATGTGCGGTTGCAGTGGGGCGGGCGCCCCGCCGCGCGCGCCGTCGCGACAGCTCTCTTGGGCGCCCGCCCGCCGCCGTGCACGTAGTGGGCCCAGCTAGTCTCGCGGTCGGCGCGCGGCGGGTCGGCAGCCACGACGCCGGCGGCCTGAGAATGTTTCGAAAGTGTTTCCCCCCGAGCCCGGGCTATTGTACGTTTTCGGTGGCACGCGCAGCTCGGAAAAGAATCGCCTTGTCCGTCGGCGGCCAGTTGGCTGTCGTCGCGCAGAAGTACCGGCGGATGGCGCGGTCCACGCTCAGCGCAGAGAGCGTGCCCATGGGCGTGGACTCGTCGAGGGGCAGGAGGAAGGACCTCGTGGTCGGGACCATCGCGGCCTGCGATGTCCACGGCCCCCACCCTCGGCGCGTGAAGACCTGCTGGGCGCCGCCGCAGGCCGATTTCAGAGAATCTCAGAACGGGAAATCCGGGCGCGCCAAATTTCGCGGGCCGAAAAACTCAGAGAGTTTCGGGCAGCTCCGAGGTTTTGGGTTTATGGGAATGTTTCACGCGGGGTGTCGAGTTCAGAGACTTTCAGAGATTCTCAGAGAAGTTCGGACGCGAGAATTTGGCGCGCCCCGTTTTCTGGTTCTGTGAATCTCTGAAAAGCAGTTCCTCAGGTTTTACCGGATCTCCAGGCGTCCCACTGTCAGCCAGAGACGAGCGACTGGCTGGCGCCGCGCCCGATGCTTCCGGAGTCGCGAACTCGGTCCTCGATTCCCTGGGGCCCGCGGGCCCCTGGGCCAATCGCGAGGTTGCCGAAGCCCCCGGGCGGTTGCGCGCGATTGTCTCCGAAACCGGAGTTGGGCATCCATGTGGACGCCCGCGCGTGCGCGCTAGGCGTCCGCGAGATTCTTCGGTGGCGGATATTGCATAGTGCGGGGGCTTTCCAAAAACTTTCCGGGGTTATTCTCTACGGTTATTTCGGCGCGCTTCGGGAACCTTGGGGCGGCGCGGGGAAGTCGCCAGGCCGCGCGCGGGCTCCTTTTCCAGTGCCTTCTTGGGCATTCTTGCGGTGTTGCGTGGCCGTAGAGGTCACTGAGTGCTGCGTTTTTTTGATATTTACACGTGTTTTTCGTTGCGTTGGTTGCGTGATTGTTTTGGCGGTCCGCCTCTTTGGGGCCCCCTTGGGGCTTCAAGTTTGTTTTGTTGACGTCGGGTCTTCTGGAGTGAAAGGCGCTTGGCGCTGAATTCCCTCGGGCGCGCGCGTGGCCAAATACGCGCCGTGGCCTCATCCGCGCCGGGGCGCATTCCTTCCCTCGCGAAGCCGATGGTGCCCAAGGCGTGGCAGGCCCGTTCGGTGGCGCCCCCAGTGATTTGAAAAACCGAGCATGATTTTTATCCCGGTCAAACTTTGCCCCGATCCCGGCTTCGTCTTATGATTACGCAAACACGTCACGTACATCGCATACATGGTGAAGTGTACGTTGCGTAACCGAGAAATACATCACGTACAACCTTTCTACGTTTTTGGGAGCCCCTGGGATGTTAATCGGCTGTATCTGGAGCGTGGTTCGGATTGTCACGGGGCGGTTTTTTGGATGCACCTGGGGTGCTTTGGGGATGTTTCGAAGATGCCCCCCACCATGTTCCTGAGGTGCTCCTAGGGCGTTTTCGCGAACGTGCTGCGCGAGGACTCCTACGTAAACGCACGACGCACCTCGCACGGAAAACGAAATAACCATTGCGTGCTAAAGCACTACGCGGATACTTTTCGCTCTTGGAATTTCTTTGGGAAGCTCGTAGGATGCTCCTAAGAGTCGCCTGGGGTGCTGCCTGGATGCTCTTAGGATGCTCACATGATGCTCCTGCGTTGATCGGGCGCGAGGACACTACGTACAAAAAACGTATTGTACGGGGGGCGAAGTTGACTCCACATACACATACACATTGCGTAGCCATGCTACGCTCCTGGGATTCTCCGGGACGCTCCGTGGGAGCTCCGGGGGTGTTTTTGTGATGCTCTTGAGATGTTCCCTGGTGCTCCTGGGACGTTCTTGTGGCGCTCTTGCGAACGGGCTACGTGAGGACGCTGCGAACACACACACACACACCTCGCACACACATTACGTAAGTCGCAAGAGGGGTTGGGGGCGTACGTGATTTTACTACGTCATCGCACTACGTAAACCATCGCGCAAAAAAAAAAAACGCTACGTCAAAACAACACGTGAATACACAACGCCCTTGGGATGTTCCAACGGTGCGCCTGGGATGCTCCTGCGAACGCGCTACGTGAGGACGCTGCGCCAATGCACCTGCGTGAGAAGAAAATGTAAATCGCAGGGGGGAATAAACACAGCGAGAGTTCAGTGCGTCACTGCCGTACGTATATCAGTCAGTACAAAACAAACTCGAAATGCCAACACTACGTACATACACTTCGCTCCTGGGACGTTTCTGGGGTCCTGCGAGTGCGCTACAACAGGACCTTTCGCAAGTACTCTTACGCTAAAGCACTAGGTACATCGCTAGGGGGTGTGGGATGTACACTTACGGCGTCGATGCACAATGTAGACCTCTACGTAAAGCATTGCGTAACAACACTACTTAAAACCACTACGTGCATACATTATTCTCTTGGGATGTTCGTAGGATGTTCTTGGGGTGCTCCTGGGGCGCTTCTGCGAACGCGCAACGTGATGGCGTTGCGCCACTATTCGATATAACACCACAGCGTACATCGAATGAGGAGTGTAACAGGCACTGCACAGTTCACTACATCAATGCCTTACGGAAAACATCACGCGGGCATAGTACGACCAACCTCTACGTACATGCAGGTTTTTCCTGGGATGCGCCTGGGATGCGTCTGGGGCGCTGCTGCGAACGCGCCATGTGCCAACGCTGCAGCCGTACTCATTACGTGAATGGACTACGGAAGTGGCCAGGGGGTGTAGCCACCAGGTGAGTTCACTACGCCAATGCACTACGTACAACACAACGAAACATAACTTTATGTCACAGTACAGCGTGCGTGCACTACTCGTCTGGGATGCTTCTAGGATCCGCCTGGGCTGCTCCTGGGGCTCTGCTGCGAACGCGCCACGTGAGGGGGCTGCGCAAACGCACGGCATGATAACAAAACGCAACTCGCACGGGGGTGGAATAACCATTACGCCATTTCACTACGTCAATCCAATACGTAAGGCACGGCGTAACAAACACGGCGGGGGAAACATCGCCTATGTACTTTTGCATAAAGAACGCGGGGAACCAACCTTACGTACACGCACCACGTAAACTTTTACGCGCATGTATTGTATTCCGTACGCTACGGGGATACGACATGTAATGGCAATACGTGGGTGTAGTGCTTAAGTCATTTGAGCGACTACGCTACGGACTTACACCACGTGGGTACGCTACGTGAGATCACGACGTTGAAGCCACTACGAACGAATTTTACGTGAAAATCATTTGCGACTCCACAACGTAAAAAAGAAGCCACGCCTTTGTAACACCAGATTACGTACACAAAACAGGTTGTAAGCACCACTGCTACATACTTGTCCACGCACTGTTTCACACACTACGCGAAAACAGTACGTTGATTATCTACGTGGCGTTTATTACCTGGTGTGATGTTGTAGTGTCCAGGTCACCATTAGGGCCAAATCTCCACTTCAGCTGAAGGTGTCTTTGCGTTCGTCGTGAGTTCTGTCTTGGTTGTTTCAGTTACCCGTGTATTGTGATTTGGATGATGCTGAACGGCAGGTTCTCGTTCATTGCATCATGTGGTCCCTGAATGTTCATGCGATGTTGTGTGTGCACGTCCTGTCAGGGACTTCCCCCCCCCACACCCCGAGGTTAACACCAGTTCATGGTGTTGATCCTATGTTTTCATTTCCTATCTACATGACAGGGCTTACTATCGCGAGGTTGTGGTTATCTGCACGTTGCCGCGATGTTTACACCATGAGCCCTCGACTTGCCTCATCCCTGATGCCCCCTCCCTCCTTCCCCATCCGCAACTTTGGTGGCAGAAGCAATTTGGCCGGAGGTGCCGCTTCAACAAGTGTCTTGATTGCCAGTCGCTTTGCTTATACATCATGGCAACACTCAGTGCGATCCGGAGGGTCGTGGAGGAATATCTCATCAGCGTCGCACCAAGCACGCCAGAAGTTGGCTTTTTGACCTTGGTGCCCTGGAGCTCGCAGGAGAAGCCGGCCAACGTGTTGGCATCTTGCGCAGATTGTGGAGAGTTGAGGTTGGAGAGCATCGCCCAGATAGTGGAACAGCACGAGGTCGTGTTGATCGTATCCGTATACAGGACGAACAAGGAGAAGAGACGCGTGGTATGTCTTCTGGACCATCTTGGGGCGGCTCATCCCGACGTGGCCATCTTCCTGGTACAGCTTCCAGATCGGTTGGATCCCGAGCTTACCAAGGCCTACCTTAGTAAACTGATGGAGCGGTACGACGAGCTCCACAGCTTTGGGGCGGATGGCGTGCTGATGGAGCTGGCAGGTGACCCGGGGGGGCTGCAACATAGGTTAAGTTTGGAGTTCCAAGAGAACGCCGCCATCCAGCTGCGCGTGCGGGCACAGATCAGCACTCTGAACCAGAGTGTGCTCTCTGCCATACAACTCAAAGGCATCGAGGACGAGTTCCGTAGTTTGCTCTGGAATGCCATTCCAGATGTGTTGATGCCCGGTTTCGCGCCTTTGGACGAGCGTCTCTTGGAATGTGGGAATCGGGTTGGGGATTTCCAGCTCGTACGCCCGTATTCGGATCACCAGCACGTGTCGTTGGCGGTGAACGGGCAGCATGAATACGTAGTGATCAAAGAGTACGACAAGCGCAGCGTCACCGATGCCAGGGAGGTGGAGAGCATATACCAGGAATTCTGTTTCTTGACGCACACCCTCGACCACCCACACATCATTCGTTGCGTAGGCATGTTGCACAGCCAGCGTAGTGTGCAGTTGGTTCTCCAGTATGGTGGAGACGTGTGCATGGAGCAGGTGTTGTTGACTCAACCTGGGTACCGCTTGTCCAAGGACGAAGCCTTGGATTGCAGTGCCCAGATCGCCAGTGCTCTGTCCTACTGCCACGCCCAGGATGTCGTCCATGGGCAAGTGTCTTTGAAACACGTGGCTGTAGAGACATCACAGAATCGGCACATCTGCCGCCTTGTGGATTTCAGCATGGCAGCTCACGTGCCAAACTCCAGCGCAAGGGAGACCTGGTGCGGATCTCTGCCGTGCGTGGCTCCAGAGGCGGCGCTGAACGAGCCGTACTTGCCTAAGCCAGCGGATTGTTGGAGTCTTGGGGTGCTGCTCCTGGAGACCGCTTGCGGGCAGGGTTCGCTCAAGTTGTCGGTCCAGTGGCGCCGTGGCGAGCCCATCGCTTACGCCGCGCGGCAAGTACTCGAGTTTTTCTCCCATGCAGGTAGCCACACCGAGGCGATGACGAACATGGGTAATCCACTCGACGGCGTAACACTGGCGTGCTTAGAGGCGGTTTTGCAGCCCGAGCCAGCTCGCAGAACGAGTGCCTCTGACATGGTAGGGATGTTGTCTACCGGGCGCACCGAACAGGCCATTTCTGATTGATTCGTTGCTGGTTGCTTTTGCACTTTGGTGGCGCGTGCAGCAGTGCATGCGCCTCACATTTTTAGCGCAGGCTTCGTGCGCCGAGCTTCTGCCTCATATGCCTAGAACCCTTCCCCAGTATAAGTTTTCCGTCGGACCATTTCTTGATGGCCCTGGAGCCCGTTGAGGGCCTTCAGATGCCGAGATGCCACATGACCGCCCGTCGGGGTTTGCTCCCACGTAACACCCTCCTCCCACCCCTTCTCCTCTTCTTTTCTGCCTCTTAACTCGCTCCTTCCTGCCTGCCAGCCTGCATCCTACCCGGCAGTCCTAGGTGATCTGGCCATGCCCGGGGGGCTGCGAAATGCGAAAATGTCGCCACGTTCGAAGGCTGCTGGGAGGTCCAGCGAAGTGACGACTACGCAGATTCAGAGTCGACCTCACCATCCCTGGGGGTGCTGCGATCTGTGAAGCTGTCGCCACTTTTGGAGGATGCTGCGGGGTCGAGCATAGTGACGTCATAGACAGATTCAGATTCGACCTCACCATCCATGGGGGCTGCGAACTGCGAACATGTCGCCACGCTCGTGGGCTGCTGGGGGGTCTCGCATCGTGACGTCCTGCTCAGACTCAGATTAAACCTTACCTTCAATGCGGGGGCTGCGAACTAAGAAATAGGCGCCACTTTCGCGGGCTGCTGTGGGGTCCAGCATAGTGACGTCCAACGCAGATTCATGTTAAACCTCACCATCCCTGGGGTTGCTGCGACCTATTAAACTGCCGCCACTTTTGAGGGATGCTGGGGGGTCGAGCATAGTGGCGTCTTATGCAGATCCAGTTTAGATCTCACCATGCCTGGGGGCTGCGAACTGCGGAACTGTCGCCACGTTCGTTGGCTGCTGGGAGGTCCAGCGAAGTGACGTGCTTCGCGGATTAAGATTAAACCTCACCAGCCCTGGGGTGCTGCGAATTGTGAAGCTGTTGCCATTTTCGCAAGGGAGACCAGCGACGGGTCACCGCCGGGTCACCCGACGGGAAACAGGACACCAACGGGACACCGACGGTGTCCAGTCGCTACCCCGTTGACGTCCCGTTGGTGTCCCGTCGGTGTCCCGTTGGTGTCCCGTCGGTGTCCTGTCGGTGGCACGTCGGTGTCCCGTCGGTGACCCGGTGGTGTCCCGTCGGTGTCTCGCTGATTCGGATTGTCCCAATCGGGATCCGGATCCGGATTGGGATAATCCGAATCCGTGATCCCAATCCCCATCCATGAGAGCACAGGCCTGAGCTCTTGCCTCTGAACAGCTCACGGATCCAGTCCCGGATCCAGATCTGGATCCGGATTGGGACAATCCAAATCCGTGATCCCAATCCCCGCCCATGAGGGCGCAGGTCTGAGCTCATTCCTCTGAACAGCGCACGGATCCAGTCCCGGATCCGGATCCGGATCCGGCCCTGCCGGCCCCGGGGGGCGAGGTCGTGGCCGCCAGCCGTTTCTCTAGTTTCCAAGAAGAATGAGATTTGAACGATATCTGAACAACAAACAACAACAGCAACAATAACAACAACACCACCAACAACAACAACACCAACACCAACACTAATACCAACACAACCAACACCACCACCAATAACAACAACAACCCGCTGCGCGGAACCTCAATTCAGCCACACGCCCAGGGACAGTGAATGACCGTCCGGCCCCCTCACTCTGATTACTGACATGCGACGCAAACAGAATCCGAAGGGGCCTTGGGCCACTTCACTAAGTGCCTCGCGGTACGGCGGTGGATGAGTGAGTTAGATATCGGAGTGTAGGCGAATCTGAATATGAGCGAGGTTGAGTACGTATGAGAAAGAATACCTGCGAGTCCGATCGTGTGAGAGAGTGGGCGGGTGAGACAAGGTGAGAGCATGAGGCGGAAACACCACGCTGAACACGCAGGTTGATGATATGGCACGACGTAGCACCTCAATCGCGGAGTGGATGGAGGGGGTGGGTCGCTTGATGCGGAGCCGTCGTGGAACAATCTCTGTACAGTGCCGTTTTTAATACATGCTCCGCGTGCGGATCATGTCTTAAACATGCAAGGGTTTAGTATTAAAAACAACGAGGAGTTCATGCATAGCTTTATTCAGACGTTGATCATGTATTAAAAATCCTATATGTGTTTAAATCCCATGTTACACAACAACTGCCTTGTGCGTACCTTTGCGCCGGCGGGTGACGCTACGGGCAGCGGCTCGGTCGAGGCTGACGCCTGCCTTGCTGCCGTCGCACATATGGCTGGGTGCCATACTCGCTCTCTGGGCTGATGCCCGTCCTCGAGAAGACGTTTCAATAGGGGGGCACATGCGAACCCTACCCCTACCCCCCACGATTTCAAGTCAAGCACTTGAGGCCTCCTGGCACCGCGCCGCTGGTCCACTGATCGGCGTGCCTCCATTTTTCCGCACAGATGTCCGCACACTGGCGACTGAGATGTTTCAAACACTGTAGGCTTGCACTTGCAGCCCTAATGGTTCTCTGGGAAGGTACATTGAGCTTGCCCAGGATTTGTCAAGCACTGCTTTGGCTTGGCACGTCGCCAGACGTGGTGCACCCTTCGGGGTAACAGTCGAGCACGCACATTGCGAAGCCGCTCGGCTCGACCTTGTGATGTTACCAGTCGGAGGCGTGCTGGATCTAGTCCCGCGGGGGCGCCTTGCCCCGACCAGAACGAGCCGCGGGAAGCTCCACGGACTCGTTTGCCACCTGCCCCTGCCCCTGCCCCTGCCCCTGCCCCTGGCAAGGAAGCAGAGAGCAGGAGGCACCGCTCTTGTTGTCATGACGGCTCCTGTTCTCCCTCTCTCTCTCTCTCTGTCGGTCTTTCAGTCGGGCACGGCCCCTCACAGAGGCGTTCTTTCCAAAAAAGTCAGAATATAGATGGGACTACTTTGGGGGTATTTGTTTGATCATGTTTGACTGCTTTTCGACTATTTCTGATTTTTCGTGCAAGCTCCGCCTCTAGGGGGACGCGCCCGACCTAAGTCTGTCTCTCTCTCTCTCTCTACTTCCTGTCCCTCTCTCTCTCTCTCTCATCCGCGTCCCCAGCACCAAGCCGCGCTCCGAGTCTTGCGTCCAACGGGGTCATAGGAGCGCCAGCCAGAGTTCCAAAACCTCATCGCCGGGGGTGTGACCATTCCCAGAGATCCGATGTCGTGAGTTTTTCAATGCGCGGTCCCCAGAAGTCTCGACCCATTCCCCAGGACCGGCTTTTCATCCTGAGTCGTTTTTGGACGACCCCGAGGGCCGGCGAGGGCCCTTGGGGGCCGAAACTTGCGCAAAACCTCCGTCCTGACTTTTTCAAGGCGTTGGATCGCTGGGTGTGGAGGAGGAGGAGGAGGAGGAGGAGGAGGAGGAGGAGGCGGAGGAGGAGGAGAGGAGGGGGAGGAGAGGAGGATGTGGAGGAGAGGAGGGAGTAGGAAAGGAGGAGGCTGCGGAGGACGAGGAGGAGGAGAGGGCCCGAGGGCCCGAGCTCGGCGACCGCCCCTCGGGACCCGCTCTCCTCGGTCGCCGGCACCCCGGGACGGGCCGTCGCCTCCCCCGCCCCTTCCCCCGGGGTCTCCAGAGGAGCCCACATCCTCATCCTCCTCCTCCTCCTCCTCCTCCTCCTCCTCCTCCTCCTCCTCCTCCTCCTCTCCTCCTCCTCCTCCTCCTCCTCCTCCTCCTCCTCCTCCTCCTCCTCTCCTCCTCCTCTTTCTCCTCCTCCTCCTCCTCCTCCTCCTGCTTCTCCTTCTCGACCCGTGCCCGCTTGGCCACCTCTGGCGCGGAAGCCATCCGCGAAGTTGCCTCTCGGTTCGGGGCCGAAGGCCCCGACTCCCTTTTGAGGCTTCGCCCTGGACGTCGAATTTGGGGGACTGGATGTCCTCCCCGATTGGTGAGGTGGTCGTCCTGCATGCCGAGTGGCCATTTTGACCGAGAGGCACCGCCTGCTTGGAGCGCGCTGCGTGTCGTGAATTGTTTTCGCTCTGCGAAGCCCCCAGCTGCCGCTGATGCCCCGCGCTGGCACTGCACCTGTGGGCTTCACCCAAGTAAAAGGCTCCTCCTCCTCCTCCTTCTCCTCCTCCTCGACCCGTGCCCGCTTGGACCACCTCTGGAGCGGAAGCCATCCGCGAACTGGGGCGAAGTTGCCTCTCGGTTCGGGGCCCAAGGCCCCGACTCCGTTTGGAGGCTTCGCCCTGGACGTCGAATTCGGGGGACTGGATGTCCTCCCCGATTGGTGAGGTGGTCGTCCTGCATGCCTCCTCCTCCTCCTCCTCCTCCTCCTGCTCCCCCTCCTCCTCTTCCTCCTTCTCCTCCTCCCTTTCCTCCTCCTCCTCCTCCTCCTCCCTGCTCTCCTGCTCCTCCTCTTCCTCCTCCTCCTCCTCCTGCTCTCCTCCTCCTCTCTCCTTCTCCTCCTCCTCCTCCTCTCCTCCTTCTCCTCCTCCTCCCTCCTCCCCCTCGTCCTCCTCCATCCTCCTCCTCCTCCTCCGCCTCCTCCTCCTCCTTCCTCCTCCTCCTCCTCCTCCTCCTCCTCCTCCACCTCCTCCTCCCTCTCCGCCTCCTCCTCCTCCTCCTTCTCCTCCTCCTCCTCCGTGTGGCCCTTCGGGGCCCCGACCCAATCGCCACCCCAGTTGGGGATGCACCCTTCGAGACCCGAAGGGAACGGCCTATGTCCCCATCTGGGGAGGGTAAATCGGCCAGTGGGGCCCAGGCCACGCCGCTGGGGATGGGGATCGGTTGAACGACACTCAGAGGAGAGCGGGTCCCCACAGGTGGTCGCCGTGCTCGGGCCCTCGGGACCTCCGTGTGGCCCGGGACCGTGAGGAAGCGGCCCCCCGGATGGAGAGCGGGTCCGGGGGGAAGGCCCCGGGGTCCGGGACCCACGCCCCTCAGGGCCCGTGCCCCCCAGGGCCCAGCGTCCGGGAGGGGTCACGCTGACCTGCTCGGCTCGTGATCTGGCCTGGCCCACAACAGAGAATCTGATGGGCCTGTTGTCCACCATCACCACCCCGCCATCAGTTGGAGGGGGAGGGGGTCCTCCTCCTCCTCCTCCTCCTCCTCGTCTTCGTCCTCCTCCTCCTGGTCCTCCTCCTCCTCCTCTTCCTCCTCCTCCTCCTCCTCCTCCCCCCTCCAACTTATGGTGGTGGTGGTGGTGGTGGAAAACAGGCCTCTCATAATCGGAGGGCGGAGGAGACGGGCGCGGGCGGGGGGTCGTGAGCCTCACAGACACCAGGAATCGTCGACTCCCCCGAGAATAAGGGAAAAGATGGGCAGTGTGGGGGGGTGGAAGGCATACACCCATAACATACGGGAACAGATGGGCAGTGGGGGGGGGAAGGCAGACACCCAGAACATACG